ACACTTTAGTTGTTAAAGTGCTGAATAATGGGCTAACCTTTTGATCTTTTGTACTTAAAATAGTCATTAATGTACTTTACTTGTGTCTTCTGTGTTAACCGACTTATTTAAAATATTTATATTTGTGTGTCGTTTCAGTCGTCCAGCAGCGGCTGCAGCAGTGACTCTGACTAAATGGAAATTCTTGGATCTCCCAGAACCCTGAGGCTTTCTGATCATGATGTAACCTTTTTTAAAACCTTCCATTTTCAGCAAAATAATGTTTTGGTTCTTTGATCAAATGTTTTAAGAGATATATCTTTAACAACATTTATGAAGATGTCTCTGTGGCTCTAAACTGAAACAATCGGAGCATGATCAGTTTGAATAAATAAACCACACGGTTTCTGTTGTTTGTTTTCCTTCCGCTCTGTGTTTGTTGTTTTTTATGTTCAGGTGAGCTCAGGTGAGCGCGCCTTGATTATGGGAAAACCCTTCCTCTTATCTTGTTTTGGTAACTTGTGCAATCAATCACCACTAATAGTGAAGCGCTCACTCTTTTACACAAGTTCACTTTGAGGGTCAGCAGTTCTTTATCGTGTCATGAAAACATTTATTATCAGAAATCATGATTTATTGTGATGTATTAGAAAAAGTTCACGTTTTTATGTTTAAATACGCCACCAAAGGCCCTGCATTTAAATTTAAACAAGTGTTTGATTGGGCTATGAAACAAACAAACAAAAAAGACTCGAGAATTTACAGCTAAAGAGAGTTTATTTGGAGAAATCGAGCTTCACATGGTCTTGCATTTTGGATTTTTCCATGAGAAAGTTCCAACAAACATACTTTTTATTTATCTCTAAGGCAGTGGTAAACAAAACATCTCATTCTTACACGGACATGGTCTGCACAGATGAATATATAGTAGTTTGTTGTTGTCATTGTTTACTGTTATTGTTGTCTGTACTTTATACGTTCTGTTTGGAACAGGTCCTTATTGTAAATGAGTCCTTGTGGCTCAATGAGGATAGCCTGTATAAATAAAGGTTGAATGAAAATATGTTATCTGAACATTCCCAGGGGTTCTAATGAATTATATTCATGGGTGAATTTAGTTTTTCACATACCTCTTTATTTTATTTTGTCAAAAGGTGTAAAATGTTAGAATTCAAACAGGATATTCACTTTTCACCATGACTAAATTTTGTCCTACATTAACACACATTTATTAAAAAAACAACAACAACTGAACGAATGGTACACAAACCCATACAGCCTTGAAACCTACAATACAAAATGGGCACCAACACCATTTTACTATGAGCGAAAGATTGACATGTTCATAGAAAAAACAACTATTGAGTGTTATTGCTGTATTCGTTTTTAAAATTTGTCATATGGTGAGATGAATAAAATACAAACCGTAAAAGAAAATGCAACACAGTGCTTGTTCGTTTCACGCAAACCAGCTGCATTCTGCTAAATGTCCACGAGGGGGCAGTGTCACGCAGGTGCGTCAGCAGCAACCAACCAATCAGCGTGAAGCTTCCCACTTCCTCCCGGAAGTAAACAAGTTTTTTTTTTTTTTTTTACTTTATTGAACTACTGAACATACAGAACAAAAGAACACAAATAGAACAACAAATGACAATCTCAAATTACAATGATACATATAAACATATACAAATATCTACAATCATACCTCCTAAGGTCAACATATTCTTAAACGAATTATCATATCAACCATCATAAACTTAAAATTTAGGTAATAATACTATTTGAGAGTTTGCAAATAATATAGTACAGTGAATTAAACCACTAACTATTTATCTAAGAATCTACATAATTACTAAAATAATTTGTCAGAGGGCTATATTATCTGAGCGAGGTGATCAGAGCTTTTTTGCTTGTGGTTTTTTAGCACAGTCTAATGAAAGTTTTAACAAATGGAGTTCTTGTTTGAATACAGACCATAATGGTTTAGACTTGCCATATCTGCATTTATGTATATAGAATTTTAATATTATGATAATGTTATGGACAAAGTATTCATCTTTTTTATTTTCAGATACATATCCATATAATATATTCTGAACGGAGAAGGCGTCTATGTTCATAGATTTGATGGTCAGGAGATCGTGAAGGGATTTCCATAATTCACAGAATGACAGAAATAAAATAAATGTTCTGTTGTTTCAGGTTCGTTACATATAGAACAGTTATCACATTCAAATTTAAATCTATTTCTGATAAACTCATTAGAAGGATAAATATTATTTAGAGTTTTGAAATGTAATTCTTTATATTTAGGTGGAAGAGGGAAACCCAGATATGTTGTCATTATTTTTATTCTTTCCTTCTTATCGTAGAAATCATGAAACTTTCTTCTTACCTGACCAGAATATATTGTTTTTATTAAATGCTGTCTTAAAATATTGTTGTTGCATTTATTGTGTGTTAAATTTAGTCCATTGAGATTGATGCTCGCTAAACTAATTGTTGGTTTAGTTTCATAATTATTCTTTATTAACTGAACAAATGCAATTGGTATATTTTTTGTTACTTTATCATAGTCTTTTTTGGTACAGATTAGATTGTTTTTTTGTGAATTCTTCATAGTCATATAAATTTCCCTTTTCATCCATGAGATGAGTGAGTGACCATATTTGTTTCTCCATCCATGTTTCCATGAACACAGACTTCCTTCTATGTAAAACGACTCTGTTGTTCCAAAAAGGAACATTCTGAGGACTGAAGTTATGTTTGTATGCTGGTTTCCAGTTCAATAACACCTGTTGGTGAAAAGCAGATCATTTAACAGGTAATTTAGGAATGTCAAAGTCACGTCTTAACAGGAAGTCAATACCTCCAACTTTACTAAAAACCAAAGTGGGGACAGCAAACCAAAGCTCATGACCATTTTTAAGAAAAGATTGAAGCCATTTAAAGTTTTAATGCGCCATTCATTATTTCAAAATCTATTGCTTTAATCCCACCATCTTCATAATTTTTGACTGTATCTCCTTTTTTGATGGAAGTAAACAAGTAGAGGAGCGAAAGTGAAGACAGAACTCCCAGACCGCATGAAAAAATCGGGAAAAAACAAAAACAATGTCCTTAACGGTGTTGGCCTCTGCTCCCATGCTTATTTTATAGTTCAGAGGCGGAGGAGTGACGCAGGAGGCCGGTCGACCGCTTAACGGGAAACATTTACTTTAAACACCAGAAGAAGCGTTAATTTTTGTAAACTAACCGAACGGAACACAGGTGTTTTACTACACACTGAACAGCCACAACGTCATGAGCTTTTAACTAAATAAAGTTTGACTTGTAACAACAGAAGAAGTGTTCCTCCGAGATGTAAAATAGACCCTGAAAGCTGTGACGTGGTGCTTTGGACTCGTTTCTTCATAACTTCAGACAGATTGAATAAATCCTGATGTTGACAGTTTTTTTTTTGCCTCCAACACGTTAACTTTTAAGCTTTAAGGTGCAGAATGTTCCCTGTATTTTCTCACACTGTGATATTTTAATATAAAAGTCATGATGTTATGGTAAGGGGAAGAAGTTTTTAGTTAACCTTGATTTCCAGATCTAAAAAGGTTACGTCTGGTCCTCTGGACGTTCACAAAACAAAACAACAACAAAAAAATGTAGAAACGTTTCGTCTTTCATCCGAAAGACAGATCAGCCATTTTTAATCTATATTTATTGTTTCTTTCAGGCTGAAGCTTCTTCACAGACCACAGAGAATTCAGGGTCACATGGTGAGAAAGTCATGAATAGTTGGTGTTTTCATGCGGTGATCTAAAGTGGGCCAGTCTGAAACTCCAGGGTTGAAAATGAGTCCCACTGTTCCACACCCTGCAGTTTACCCATACAATCAGCTGACACCAGCTTTTATCTCCTGTATATGTTTATTTACTCTCGACTTGGTCTTAGAACTGGACTGAGGCTTTTCTGTTTTGTTATCTTGAGGGTTTTCCTCTCTGGTCCCGGTAGAGCGAACTCCACCGGTGAGAAGAAGTCTGCTGCGTTTCAGTTCTAGGTTGTTTTGGTTTTATTCAAAAATAATCCGATTTTTGTCGGGTTTTAAAATGATTCTAATCTAGTCTTAAGTGAACAAGCACGCCTAAGTCATTGTTGTAGACAAAAATAAAGCCACAATGGTAGAACTGCACCCATCAGCTTGCAGGACCTCCTTCAGCAGCAGTTTCTTTGGTAAGTTTCTCATGTAGTTGTGGAAGAATTTTGGCCCATTCTTCTTACCGATCAGTTCAACGACGTCATCAGCCCTCCACCCTCGTGCGCATGAGCTGATATGCAATGTCTGTTTTTCTTCAAACGCAAAAACTTTCCCATGTTTTTTTTGTTTTTTTTGTTAGACAGAAGTGTTTTTTTCCTGCAACCCCTCCAAGCAAGACGCACCTGTTCAGCTCGTTTCTAACTGCCCCGTCATGACCTTTGACCTGCTACCTGAAGCCTGTAGAGTCTGAGATGGAGCTCATTTCTCTGATCATTGCACGGTCTGACCTTCGGGGTGAATTTGCTGTCACTCCTGGTAAGATTGTCACCCGTGTTAATTGTAGAATGACGGACTCCAAATAGCATGTGAATGATCTGTGATCCTTCCCAAGATGATGTGCAGCAACAGCTGATTCTTTGAGGATCACTGCTGATGTCTTTCCATCTTGGTGTTTTGTTAACACACAGTAATGCCTTTAATCTGGTCAACACTGAACTCCTTAAATTGTGTGAAAGCAGCAAGTTTTTAACTCACAGCTTTTTCCTTTTGTTTCGAGTTTAATTAAGAAGAACAGGGTGGAATCTGCTCTCTTCTGTTTTTTGACACATAAAACCTGTAACTGGAAGAAGGTGGACTTGTTTCTTTTTTCCCTCGACTGTGCATCCGATTTGGAGAAACATGACTTTCTGACAAAATATATTTGACTTGTATGAAACAGGACACACAAAAATAAATCAAACACACATTTACCAGTTACCTTTAGTTTAGAAGAGTAGCGTGGATGGAGAAGAGACGTTACGTTTTCTCATTATGCAAACTTTCCCATAGGTCACCAAGCAACAAGGCTCAGAAGGCAGTGAAGACCTGCCCCTGATGGTGTAATGAGGACTCCTTAAGGTCAAAGGTGCAGCAGAGAATAAAAAGAAGCAGCAGGTTCCAGCTGCATCACAAGATCCTCTGAGGTCGTTGACTTGTACCGGACACGGTTTGTCTCTTTCAGAATCTGTCGTTTCAGCGAGTAAATGTACGGGCGCAACCAAGGTAACGTGGGATTACTTTACTGAATATGCTTCATATTCTTGATATTCTTATGTTTATTTTTATGAAGCAGGTACAAATTTGTGTCCTGTCTTTTGTGTTCAGGACACCTGTATCCAGGTGGTAACCCCACCTATCCTCCACAAATGTCGAACTACCCTCCTGTACAACCTGGAACCGTATCCGTGCCGTGTTATGGGCAGGGACAAGGTTGTGTGCAGGGACATGATCATGGGCATAATCCATGTCATGGACATGTGCATGTATATGAGCATGGACGTGGACATGAACATGGACATGGCACCAGCCATGGCACCAGCCATGGCACCGACCATGGACACGGACACAAGGATAAGGACAAGAAAAAGGACAAACATAAACTCAAGCTCAAGCACGGCCATAAGCACGGCCACAAGCACAAGCGCTGTCACAAGAAAGGAAAGACCAGCCATGGGGTGAGAAGTTCTGTCTTTAAACTTAATTATATTTAATATAAAACAATATAATTTACCATGAATTTAAACCAAAGTGTGCAACACCAAAAACATAAAGAATTTCTACACTTTAGTTGTTAAAGTGCTGAATAATGGGCTAACCTTTTGATCTGTTGTACTTAAAATAGTCATTAATGTACTTTACTTGTGTCTTCTGTGTTAACCGACTTATTTAATATATTTATATTTGTGTGTCGTTTCAGTCGTCCAGCAGCGGCTGCAGCAGTGACTCTGACTAAATGGAAATTCTTGGATCTCCCAGAACCCTGAGGCTTTCTGATCATGATGTAACCTTTTTTTAAAACCTTCCATTTTCAGCAAAATAATGTTTTGCCTCTTTGATCAAATGTTTTAAGAGATATATCTTTAACATCATTTATGAAGATGTCTCTGTGGCTCTAAACTGAAACAATCGGAGCATGATCAGTTTGAATAAATAAACCACACGGTTTCTGTTGTTTGTGTTTTCCTTCCGCTCTGTGTTTGTTGTTTTTTATGTTCAGGTGAGCTCAGGTGAACGCGCCTTGATTATGGGAACACCCTATTGTTTTGATAACTTGTGCAATCAATCACTTCTAATAGTGAAGCGCTCACTCTTTTACACAAGTTCACTTTGACGGTCAACATTTTTTCATCATGTCAGGAAAACATTTATTATCAGAAATCATGATTTATTGTGATGTATTAGAAAAAGTTCACGTTTTTATGTGTTTAAATGTGCCACCAAAGGCCCTGCATTTAAATTTAACAAGTATTTGAAGGGGCAGCTAAATAGAGTTTATTTGGAGAAATCTGTCTTCACATGGTCATTCTATATTTCTGCAACAATTATATATATATATATATTTTACTGTATCTCTAAGGCAGTAGTAAACAAAACATCACATTCTTGGACATACTGTGCATGGTCAGCACAGATGAATACGTTATCTAAATATTTTCAGGGGTTCTAATGAATTGCAAGTCTACAAGTTGCAGATTCATGGGGTGAACATGTTTGTACACACACTTCTTTATAATTTTATTTAGTCAGAAAAGTGTAAAATATTAGAATTAAAACAGCATTTACCAGTACTCACTTTTCACCATGACTACATTTTGTCCTACATTAACACACGTTTATTTTTAAAAATATATTTAATGCAAGAATCAAGATAATGGACCAGTGGATAGAAGTCATATACAGTATTTTGAAACCTACAATACCAAAAGGGCAGCAACACATTTTACCATCAGTGAGAGACTGATAAGTTCATACAAAAACAACAGTGTTATTACTAAGGGTGCACCGATTGCAATTTTCTGGCCGATCACCGATTTCTAAAATGTCTGGCCTGCCGATTCCGATTTTGGCCGATACCTATTTTGTTTTATAAGCGACACTGTCAGGTGTTAAAAGGTCACAACGCACCTTCAATTTTCCAATATTATTTTGTTGAAAAACATACCCTTGAACAATATCCTAGAAACAATACAAACATGTTTTAACTGGCCATGAGGTAGTGTTCTGAAATGTAAATTAATTTCAGACAATTGTTGTTAAAACTAAAAAAATCGGTTTCTCATGCAAGTATCGGACGATTTCAGATTTTCCAAATTAAGGAAATCGAGGCCGATTTATCGGTGCACCCCTAGTTATTATGATATGTATTTTTTAAATGTATTATATACACACACACAATTTATCAGATAAATAAAATACAAGTCGTCAAACAAAATGCAGCATAGTTAAAAAGTACAGTAGTTCTGGTTTCCCAAATCAGCTGCATTCTTCTAAATGTCCAACAGGGGGCAGTGTCACACATTACGTCCGCAGCAACCAACCAATCAGCGTGAAGCTGGTTACCTCTTCCCGGAAGTAAACAAGCAGTGGAGCGAAAGTGCCGGACCGCACGAGATAAATCACAAAAAACAATGTCTTTAACGATTTTGGCCTCTGCTTGCAGGTATTTTTTTATTTTTATTTTTTGTAGTTTAGAAGCGGAGGAGTTTCGCAGGTCGACCGCTTAACGGGAGACATTTTTACTTTAAATACCAGACGAAGCGTTGGTAAGGGGAAGAAGTTTTAGTTAATTTTGTTTTCCAGACAATTTATGTTCAGCCATATTTTAAACATATGATCCTTTATGATTGTTTATTGTTGTCTTTTTGTTGTTCCACTGTTGGCATCAATCTTTGCTAAATAAATCAGGTCTCTCTTGTAAATGAGTCCCCGAGGCTCAATGGGATTGACCTGTATGAATAAAGGATGAATGAATTAAAAATATATATTTATTGTTTCTTCCAGGCTGAAGCCTCTTCACAGACTGCAGAGAATTCAGGGTCACATGGTGAGAAAGTCATGAATAGTTTGTGTTTTCATGTTCATTTCAGCCACTGCCTGGACACTGAATTTACAACAGCCTTTCCAAAATATTTCTACGCAAAATACTTACGGTAAATTAAAAAAGTGTTATGTCACTCCCCCAGGTCAGTACTTTGTGTTGCCACTCGGTTCTTTCAGGTTCGTTGGTCTGTTCTTTAAGACCAAACGCCTGCAGGTTGATGCTGCTTGTGTCCAACATTCTTCAAATCAAACCAGAGATTCTCAGTTGGACGGAGGTTTGTCTGGACCACTCCAGGACCTTTGACCAGTTCTTGAACCGGTGACGTGTTGCTGTCCTGCTGGAAGGTGGACCTCTGTCCAGTTCTTAGATCTTTGGAAGACTCCAGCAAGTCCTCCATCTTTCCTTCAACTCTGAGCAGGTTTCCAGTTTCTGCTGATGGAAAACATATCCACATCATGATGCTACCACCACCATGCTTCACTGTGGGGATGGTGCTCTCAGCCTGCTGAGAAGCAGTAGGTTTGCCTCAGACATTGCTTTGTCCTGGTTTTAGTTTCTTTCACTCATGTTTGAGGAGTCTCTCTTATGTTTTTTGGCAAATTTCAAACAATGCCATTTTATTTCTCTGGTCAGTGTCTTTTTCCAGCCACTCTTCCATGAAGTCCAGCTCTGTGCAGTTTATTCTTCCATCTCTGCTGAAGATATATCCATCTCCATCAGGATTATCTTTGTCCTGCTGGATGTTTCTCTGATTATCACCCTCAGTTCCCGCTCCTTGAATCTTGGTGGACGACCCTCTCTTGGAAGATTCATCATCTTTTCATTTCCTAATCATGGATCTAATGGAGCTCTATGGGATATTCAGAGCTCTAGGATATTTTTATAACCCAGTCATGGTCTGTACTTCTCCACTGCTTTGCATCTGACCTGTGTGAAGATCTTCCTTGGTCTTCATGATGTCTCTTGCTAGCCTGAACTACTCAGTAGTGATGGACTTGAATACATTTTTTAAAGGTTATCATAACAGATTTATTTAGAAGAATCTCGAGACCAAATACATAACATAAGAATAAAATTAATTAAAAACATAATAATGAAGCTGCCCTTAAAACAAACAAAATAACACTAACAGTTTTTTTAAGACAAGTAAAAGAGCTGGGTTTGAGAAACGGTCATGGAAGCTACAACAGTGAAAGCACAGTGATTTATATAAAATAAAATTAATTAAACTTCCAGGTTGTGAGGCAAGAAAATAGAGTACTTTTGCAACTCGAGCAAAAAAAAAAAAGAAACAAAGATTTGTCATCACAGTTGATGTATTATGTGCTTTTGTATTTTGATATTAATTACAAGTTTTAGCTTGTAATGAGCTGCTGTTTTGACCAGGCATATTTTAAAAAAGTGAATCTCAAAGGACTTCCTGGTTAAATAAAGTAAAACTTTTTTGTTTTTTTACCATTTTACCAAAAAAAAAAATGCAGTTTGTGCTGCGTTTTAACAAATATCTTCTTTTACGACGGAATAAAACTCGTCTTGTATATTTTCAGTTTCCTTATGGACAAATCTCGGCAACTTAAATGTTTTCTATCAGGCATATCTTCCATAATAACCCTTATGATTTGACCATGATTCTCTGCCTGCTGCTGTAGCACTGGGATGCAGGAAGAGGGCCACCTGCATCATGAAGGACCCCACTCACCCAGCACACACACTTTTTGCCCCACTCCCCTCAGGAAGGAGGTTAAGGAGCATTAAGTGTAGAACCACTAGACTGAGGAACAGCTTCTACCCTGAGGCTGTTAGACTCATGAATCTCTAACTAGAATAATCACTGTGAAAAACCATATCATGTTGCTGCTGATCTGTTTCATGTTGCTGCTGATCTGTTTCAATGTTGATGTGTTCATGCGTGCACATCTGCTCACAGACTCATGTTCATGTTTGTGCTGATGTTCAATGTTTTATGTCATGAGTGCTTAGTGTATATTTAGTTGATGTTTTTCTTAGTTCATATCTTAGATGTTATTACTGTTTTTCTTATACATTTTATTGTTGGATGTAACTGGGACCCTGTGTACATAATTTTGCTCCACCACATGTACCACATGAGGTGCGAATGACAATAAAGAAACTCTGACTCTGAACTTTTCTGTTTTAGATGTCGAGTCACGCGGAACCAGAGGTTCTCCTGGAGAAAGTGGGCAAAGCCGGCCTGATCACCATGAACAGACCCAAAGTCCTCAACGCCCTCAACCTGACCATGATCCGACAAATGTATCCTCAATTAAAGGTGAAACTTCTGCACCGTTTAAAAAAATACATTTAATAATTATTCATCCGGAAAAAGAACGGTTTGAATAAATCATCATTTTTTTTATGAAGTTGACGCAAACTCCTGACTTAAAGTTATTTTAGCGTCTGATTGTAACTCTTTGTTTCATCTTCTCACTTTGTTTGTTTCTAGAAATGGGAGAAGGACGATGATACGGACTTGGTGATTATTAAAGGAACGGGAGGAAAAGCCTTTTGTGCCGGTGGAGACATCAGAGGTGAGAACGGTCGTCTCACAGATCAGGATTCTTAGACGTGTCTCTTTAACTCGTTTGTTTTCTCCTAGCCGTCACAGACGCAGGGAAAGTCGGCGGCTCTCTGGCGCAGGACTTTTTTCGTGAGGAATATATTCTGAACAACGCTATAGGTGAGCTTTTTTTATTTTAATCAATAGCTTTGATAATAAACCTTTAATTATGTGCTTTGGTAGGTTGCATGATCAAATATTTTCTTTTTTTTTTGTCCTTTAAGGAGCCTACAGGAAGCCATTTGTTGCTATTATTGATGGTATAACAATGGGAGGGGTGAGTGTGACAGTCCTCGTTAATATTTCACTTAATTTATGAAGTCATAATTATCTTTAAAGTATTTTCTTTGAGGTGTTGTTGTGAGTTTTAGCAGCAGGTGTCGGCAGAGAGCTGCTGTTTCCTGCTGCGAGTGCAAAAGGTGGATTCTGACTGGAAGAACTCATTTTTTTATGTTTTATGTTTATTGTAACCAATGGAGAAACATCAAATCATGTAGGTTTTCTGTGACGTTTTGCTGCCTTGTCACTCATTTACTCTTTGTGTATTTAACTTTTTTTTAAATGAATATTGTTTATGTGTTCATTGAAGTGTTTACCTTGACTTTATGAATCATTCTGGGCATTAAAAGGCTCCTAAACTCAAGAGGAACCAGAGTTTGTCGACACACAACCGAAAAATGAACAAAAATATCAAATCAATGCAGGTTGAAATTAGATCTTTGGTTAAATTTGTTTCCTTTTCGTTTGCTGCGCTTTTGAAAAACAACAAAATCGAGACCGTTTATGGAAAATAGCATTTTGACTCCAACGAGGTGACATTGGAGAGCACACTGCTTACCGTGCCAAGTTACAGTCATAAAAAGGTTCTAGGGTTTAATGATGGGGACGCAGTAAACGGATCTTGTTGTGGATCCACATCCTGCAGTTCACACGTGCAACCAGCTCACACCGGGTTTTATCTCCTCTTTTATTCACACAGCCCGTTTGGTCTTGGAACTGGTTTGTGGCCCTTCAGCGAGTTCAGTCTATGAGTGGATTGTGGCAGCACTTTGGTTCTGTTCTTTCTGGCCCGTTCTGTTGTAGATCAGCTGCTGTGTTTGGGATCTTGGTTCTGTTGGACCCAGTTTGGTCCAAACTTCAACTGTTGGACAGATGGACTCATGTTTGACTCCAGAACCCTTTGGTCTACAGAGGAGTTCCTGGTCCACTCAGTGACTTGACAGGAGCCCGAACCATCAGCCTCCACCACCGTGCTGACAGCTGGGAGGAGCTGTTTGCTGCAGTGCATTCTGGGTAAACATCTGTCCTCTGATCTGGTTCTGGTCCAGAAGTTCTGTGGTTCCTTCAGATGAAATTTTCCATTCTTAAGTCATGCTGCCATGTTGGTTTTAGAGTGGAGGTCCTGACCTTTGACCTTTAAACCTGCTAACTGAGGCCTATAGAGTCTGAGAAGGAGCTCACTGCATGGTCTGACCTTCAGGGTGAGTCTGCTGAGAAGCCTGGCAGCTGTCTTAATAGTTTTCCACTCGTGAATAATATCTCTCTGTAGAACAATGCACTACAAATGGATTTGAAATGACCTTTGACCTTTGCCGGATTGATGGGCTGCAACAGCTGCTTCTCTAAGGTCATTGCTGATGTCTTTCCATCTTGGTGTTGTGCTAATACACACCTTTATGCTCCAGAGCAGAGGTGGTCCCACTTATCAGCAGCTCCTGGCTGATCCTGAACCTCTGAGATCCTGTGGGAGCCGCGAGACCGGATGAACTTTTTATTTAGTTTTTTTAGTTAGCAGCTTCTTTAAAAACGTTTAAAGTCGCGACCGTTCTTGAAATATTTGCCCTGATTTTTTTTTTCTTGTTCTGAACATAAAGAATCAGGTCCTTTGAAGAAGGACCTGATCCTTAAGAAGTTCACAGCAAGAAACACAAACCAGGAAGGTAAACCGATGTAGTAAATATAAATAAATTTTACAAATTTTTAAAAATTAAAAATATGAAAATTAGTTTTAGGACATTTAAAACTAGGCACAGACTCCGTGAGCTCTAAGAGCGAAGGTTTCTGACTTTTAAACGTTGAGGATTCTGGTTGATTTTGCCGATGCAAAGTCAGTTTTACTTTTCAAGATATTTGACTTTGTTTACAAAAATAAAAATAGCTCTTCAAACATGTGGATATCCAAACTGGGCTTTTGTCAAGTCAGCAAGGAAATCTACAAAACACTAATAAACAGAAAAAGGAAAACAGCAGACGTAAAACTTTGTCATCCCTTATGCTGCTGGAGTATCTGAGAAATTCAGAAGGATCTTCAACAAACACAACATCCCAGTACATTTCAAACCCAGCAGGACTCTCAGACAGAGGCTGGTCCACCCTAAGGACAGAACACCCATACACAAACAGAGTGGTGTAATGTATGTGGTCCAGTGCAGCGAGGACTGTCCAGACCTCTACATTGGAGAAACTAAACAGCCTCTTCACAGACGCATGACTCAACACAGGAGAGCCACCTCCTCTGGACAAGATTCAGCTGTTCACCTCCACCTCACAGATAAGGGACACTCTTTTGAGGACCAAAATGTGCACATTTTGGACCGAGAACACAGATGGTTTGAGAGGGGGGTGAAGGAGGCAATTTATGTAAAAAGAGAAAAGCCGTCTCTTAACAGAGGAGGAGGCCTCAGATTTCCACTTTCAAAAACCTATAATGCAACTTTAAAACAGATTCCCAGCCGGTTTTCACACCTGATGGGAACAGAGGGGCCTCGACTGTGAATTAGAGGAACAAAAGACTCTTACTGTTGATGTTTGTTTAGGTGTGAACTGCCAATCTACGTGTGTGTGTGTCTTTTCTCACTCAGCATTATAACCTGAATCTCTCACTCTCTGCTCTTTGAATTGAGAAAGCTCCTCGGATGAGGAGCGAAACGTCTTCTGTTACAAATAAAGTCCAGTTGTTTTTGTATTGAACGCTTTTTGAATTCATCATGTCCTGGATGATCGAGAATCTTCACCAGCAAAAATAAAAATACTGAGATCTAAAAACATTTTCTTCTTTTGAGATTCTGATCTTTTATTTCTCAAGCTCCTCTTCAGGCTTGTCTTTTTGAACTTTTGGGGTTTTTGATAATATTTAGCAAATTTTAGCTTTTAGCTAAGGTTTTGCTACTTGTAGCATTTTTTTACTTTTACTTTGCGTTGTACTACCTTTACCTAATGTTTTGACATGTTTTATTTTCTAAGTTTTGTTTTCTCTGTTTTTAATTCTTTTGGCTTCCATTTAGCTTTTTGGGTTTTTTATTTTTCAGCTTCTCCTTTTCAGCTCATCTTTGCTATATTTAGCTATTGTTTTACTACTTTTAGTTTTTAGCTAGCAAGTTGCTACATTTGGTTACTTATTATGTTACTCGTGTTTTGTTTAGCTTTTAGCTAGCGTTTTGCTACTTCTGTCTTGCATTTTCTTACATTTAGCTGTTTTTTGCTAACTTCAGCTTTTGTTTTGCTGGTGTTAGCTATTTGATAGCATTTTTCTAGTTTTGGCTGGTGTTTTACCACATTTAGTTTTTGGCTAGCATTATACAACTTTTAGCTAGTGTTTTGCTTGCCACCTTCAGCTTATGTTTTGTTGCTTTTAGCTGTTAGATGGTGTTTTTAGTCATTTTAGCTTTTAATTAACTTCTTTTAGTAAGCATTTGCTACCTTTAGCTTATATTTTGTTGATTTTAGCTACCATTTTGCTACTTTTAGCCAGCAATTTGTTACTTTTTGCTGATGTTTTGCCACCTTCAGATTATTTTTTGTTACTTTGGGTTTTTAGGTATCATGGTTTTGTTTTTACGTATTGTTTTACAGTATTACATGTAATTTATGGCTGGCATGTTTTTTTTCAGCTAGTGTTTTGCTACCTTCAGCTTATGTTGTGCTACTTTTAATTTTTAGCTAGCATTGTGTTACTTTAAGCCTTCAGTTACTTTTTGCCACTGTTTTGTTGCTTTTAGCTATTATTTAGCTACTTTTAGCTCAGTTTCAGCTTGTTCAGCAAACTTCAGCGAAGTCCTTCAGCTCTCAGCGTTAACATCTAATTTTGTTAACGTCTGTTTTTAATCCAAGGATTACTTTATCGTGTGTTTTTATCTGCAGGGTGTCGGTCTGTCGGTTCATGGAAGGTTCCGGGTCGCCACAGAGAAAACGCTGTTCGCCATGCCAGAAACTGCCATCGGTGAGTCCGCCCGGCTGGCTCCTGGCTCCGTGCCCTGCAGGATCCTAATCCGTGCTGAACTTTTATCCCTCAGCACTTATTTTAAAGAAGCTTTAAGATTATTTCAGCCTCGCTGCTTTTCCAAAGAGGTTTTTATGCTCGATTAGGCGACTTGACTGTGGCGCTCCTCCCAGCACTGCTGTGCTGTAGTTTTACACTCAGCAGCTAAAAACAATCAAATCAGCCGTATTTATACTCTGAAGCCATTAAGGGAGAGGTTTGTCCATTCTCAAGTGGGTTTCTGTGTAAGAGTTATCGTCTTACCTGTTCTAAATATTTTGTTGAATGGCCTCGGACTAGATAAATAGTTTAATTCAGACCGCAGTGAATCCATCTTAAAACTGCAATATTCAATTTATATTTTAAGAACATTCACGCCTACTTCAGTTTGTCCAGTTTATTTATTAAGTAGCACCAGCAGCTTCTGAGGTTTTTATCATTTCTGATTAAATAGCTCTTCAAAGGCTGGAGTTGTCGTGAGACGTTAAAACTAGAAACAGTCCGATTAGATCCAGTTCTGTGTTTTTTGTGCCCACAGAATGATGAGACCACCACCATGCTCGACAGCTGAGTGGAAACTCTTTGTTCGATTTCTCTTACACTGAATATCTTCTGGTTGAGTTATCAGGGAGTTGTTTTGGTTCTTGTACGTGTAGAGGAAGTTTCTTGAGTGTAAACAAGAGGCTCTGCAGCTAATTGACTCTCGCAGACAGATGGCTTCATCCCGAGGCGCTGAGGAGATTAGTAACAAATCTCTAAGAACCAACAAACCACAGCTGACGATGCGACACAAACACGTCTGCAGGGATCCAGCGGGGGTTTCATTTATGTGTTATAATCAGCCTGTCGGCACGTCGTGGAGATTTATTGTTGTGCTTTAGTTTGGGACTGAAGCAGACGGTTAATCTTTCCTGTGCTGTTGCAGTTAATTAGTAAGTCTAGATCCATTAGTTCTTTAGGCCAAATAAAGGTATTTTCAAGTTATTCTGTGGACGTTTGCTGCTGGTTCACTCCAGTTTGTGGAATATTCTCTAATTCAAGTTCACTCTAACATCTGAATTATTAAGAGGCTCCTAAATTCAAGTGTTGAATTGACAGATTACAGCCAGATTAGACGAAAATGTAGATTTAAATTGGATATGTAGGCTCTTTGTTGCCAGCAGCCTGTCAGAAAGACACTTTTTTTTACTACAGTAGTCCCTCGTTTATCGCGGTGGATCCATATCCTGAAGCCCCGCGATAAGTGAAAAATCGCAAAGTAAGGATAGAAGTACAAGTAGTAAATAGTAGTTTTAGTATTTAAATATATATAAAGGCATTTTAAACTCTTCTCACACTCTTGCAATATTCTAAACAATGTTTCTAAACTCCAAACGCTCTAAAAGACACAGAATGTTATGATTTCAGCTCTCTGCCCCTCAGCCACGCCCACTTCTCCGCTCTGCACGGAGATCAGCTGATCAGCTGCAGGAAGAAGCTTATCCTGCCGTGTGGACTGCACAAATGTGCAGCAGGTGCTGAATAATTTAAAATAATTCATTTTAAATAAAAATCCCATGCCGATTGTGTGGCCCATCCATCAATCAGCCAATAGTGTGTCATGTCCACTCTTATTTTGAAAAACTGCGATAGAGCGAGTCCACGATAAACGAACCGCCAAGTAGCGAGGGACTACTGTCTTTTCTTAGCTGACTTGGTGAAAAACATCAAGTTTAGAGCAGGTTGACAGACAATAAGGTCACCTAGAAGTCGATGCATCTCTCAGGTCTTTGATGGATTTGTTCCAGGTCCAGATCACCGTCAGGACCTCATTCACGAAACACCAAGTACAAAGGGGTCTGGACAAGATCTGCTAAAATCAAATTATCTTTAAAAATGGTCGCCAGTGACGGTGGTGTCACTATCCTGCATGTTTTGGAGGTTTCTCTGCGCCAACGCCTGATTTGAGTCAATGGGTGATTGACAGGTTCTGCAGAACACAAAGAGGGGATTCAGCCGTTGAATCAGGTGCGATGGAGCAGAGAAACAGGTAAAACATGCAGGGTGGTGGCCCCCGAGGACCAGGATCCAACACTCCCACGCAATGGTGTATTTATGTCTAACATAAGGGCTTCACAACAGTTCTCATAATGGTTAATGAGGTTTTTTAATGGCTTACCTGCCACCTAAACACAGGTCTGTGCATGTTTGTTTGTTTTTTTTGTCTGTTAGCAAAATATCTCATGAACCGCCAGTGGATGAACCCATATCAAGATCAAGTTGGTTGTACAACACTAACCAACATACAATTCAGTTAAACGTACAGGTATTCAGCTGCGCTGCGGTGTGGTAGTAGCCGAAGTTCGTCCCTAACACAAACTCTGACAGAGAATTGTTTGAAAGTTTGTCACAAGAGACGGCGGGTGACGCGCACCCCTAGTTTCATTGGGATCGTTTCTAACGTCTCAGCAGCTTTAATAACTGGAAGGTTGGTTCAGAGGATGGAAATGTGTCCGTTGTTGCAGCTTTCAAGTGTCTGATTTGAAACAAACCCTTGAATCTTTGTGAGATCAGTCCTGCCTCTGATCGCCGTCCGGTCTGCGACAGTGATGGGTTTGGATGCGAAGGTCGCCAACAAGTTTAGGATGGAGATGATGTCGTCAGCAGACGGGAAATGAGTTCAGAGAGAGAGTGCTCCAGCTTATTGTTGATTGTTGTGTGGGATTTCCTTCAAGGCCACAGGGAGGAAATGAAGCGGTAATTGATTTGTGCTGGACGAGGACCGAGGCGTGGAGATGGTTTGAACTCAGATTTGCTGTTGGATTAGAAGAAACTTGTCTCTTTTTTAATGGAACAACTGGAGCTGATGCCCAGGTTGCAGCCAAAAACACAAAGAAACAAGATTTGGAAAAACAACAAGTGTTATCTGTTGCGTTTCCTAAAAAATATAAAAGAGAAAGTTGCTTAAATGTACTGTGTTTTTCACCTTAACATAGTCAGCACAATGTCCACTTCTTCCTTTTACGTCCAGGATTTAAAATTCTCCTAAACTCGAAACCAGGAAATACATTTTTATTATCTGTGGGACTCCACAGCTTTACTAATGTCATCAATAAAAATAAAATAACTTTTATTATTTAGCTAATAAACACGCATACCTAAATAAAACCAAAATATGAATTTACCGTACTTGCCGCCGCACAAGTCGCATCTATTATGTGTGACCTCCCAGAATTAAACAAGATTAACACTTAAAAACAATTATTTGTTTGCTCGACATTATAGTAAAGGTCTCAGTTGAACTTGTCCTTAATGAATTTACTTTAATGGTCAAATCAGCTGCATTTCTGCTGGGCGGCGCAGCAAAATGCAGCTGATTTGACATTTGCTGCAGGAGTTCCAGATCGAGACGAAGGTGGGAGTATGGCAAGCCAAGTGTCTCATTAATAGCTAGGTTTACCTATTAATGAGAAAATTGGCTTGCCATATCACTCGAGGGCCCTCTAGTGGCTGCAAATGTTAATGTTTCATATTTTTCATGTCAGAATGAATGAAATCGTCAGATCTCGGCCAAAAATTGGGTTATAAAATGGGAAAAAACGTATATTAGTCACTTCGGTTTATAAGTCGCAGGACTTGCAAATTTATGCAGAAAGGTGCGACTTATATGGCGAAAAATACGGTAGCCAGATCACAACGTTTATCCGCACAAGAAGGCCTGGCACGTGTTGGAGGAATGCATATCACCCGCCATCTTTCATGACAGAGTCGTAGATTAAACGTTTAAAACAACGATATGGGCGATTTATCACGACATCTGTTTGGGGTCTGTCGCAGTCAGAGCATGTGCCGTGAATGACTCTCAGCTACTCCCTTCCTAAATTTAGCTTAACGTATGTCCCGTATTCACAAATGACCCGCAGCTGAACTGTGCCTGTGCGTGTCTGTAAACACAAAAGCAGCTAAAACTCATTGGTTTTACATTTATTAAGATATAATCTGGCGCAGATAAGATTTTTGGTTGAAACTCGGCACGTACGGTTTAATCATAATGAATTGGCATTAGTGGGTTAATTAGGCAAATTAATGAAATAATTAAAGTTCAGTATTTCATTAATAGGAAAGCAGTTTTCCGCTCACCTGCTGTGTTGGTTCAATATGTTTGAGTCCTAAAAACCTCATATTAAAGTCCGGGGGGGTCCGTTATGTTTCAATAATCTCTGTATCAGTGTGTTATCACCTCACATCCGCTGCTTATTCTAGCTCACATTCTGGGATCATTATTTCTCCTGAGACTGTTGCTGCAGCTGTAAGTCGCTCTTTGTTGGCTTGACTTTAGGTGTAGAGTAACATTCGATCTGCTGAATAGTCGATAAGCAAATGTCAGCACGGAGGAGTTCTTTATCAGTTATAAGAATCTCACCAAACAGAGAGATGTTTGCAGGTGAGTCCTGACGACTCTGAAATTACATCCTCGTCCAAGATTTACACAGAAACTGTGGAAATGTCCCTTTAACTGCTACAGACTCTTGATCAAAAGGACGAACGCTTGCTCTCTTTCTGCCGTTTGTTCGTGTTACAAACCACACGCTCAAAAAACGGGATTACCAGCTCTGACCACGAGCGTCCTAAACAAAAAGCCATAATCCTCTGCATTTATTTTATCACGTTTTCAGCCATAAATCAGGTCAGCCCTCCTAATCCCGCCTACTTCTCTTCACCACCCCCTCTCTAAACTCTGCACCACAAAAGCTATAATAAATTTTTTTTAAAAAGAACGATTAAAACCAGAAGAATTTTATCTCTCGTGTGACAGATTGACGTCAAGTTACATGTTAAATTCAACGTCAGCAGCGCACGGATTAAAGCTGAAATTACACCGTGTCTGAGCTGAGGGCTGGGGTTTCTCACTCGTTTCAGCAAAATCTCATTATTGTCTGTTTCTTTTTTTCCCAAAGCAGATACAAAATAATGTGCAAGGCCAAGAGTAGCTGGCCGCACATCGATGGTCGCAAACATCCAGAGTTTAGACTGCCGAGAAAAATCGGCCTCATCATGAGCTCGTTTAGGTCTTTAAATCGAGCTTTTCTAACTATTGTCTGAAGTGCATTTGCACCAAAGCTGTGTAAACGTTTTATTTTGACAGGGCTTTTCCCTGACGTGGGAGGCGGCTACTTCCTGCCGAGGCTGCGGGGGAAGCTGGGACTGTTTCTGGCGTTGACGGGCTTCCGACTGAAGGGACGAGACGTGCAGAGAGCTGGAGTTGCCACTCACTTTGTTGAATCCAAGAAGGTGCTGGAGTTTGACCCGTCAGAACAAATTACACTGACTCCCCAAACACGTTCAGCTCTGAATCACCTGCAGGGTTGCCAGATAAGAAAGGATGAACTAATGTACTGTTGCTTTAGAAATTTATTTTGACCCAAGTTGTCACGTGCGCTGAGTTAGGGTGTTGTGAGGTGAGGTGTATGTTGTGTTTGGAGGACGTGCACACAGAAATGGAGGGGGTAAAAAGATATTAATGTTTATCTGGCAACTCTGCATCAGCCTCAAGGCTGAGCGATAGTCGAGCTGCAGGGACGAATGTAGGGCACGGCCATGGCCAGATGTTGGGTCGGCGGGTGGAAAGCTTTGCTTTACTTGAGCCGACACGTACCGACTGGTCCAAAAGTCGGGTGCAGGTTCTGCTAATGGATCCCAGTCAGAGCTGTGGGCGGCAGAGTTCATCTGTAGTGTAAGCTAGGTTTTTATTTTTATTTTACTTTAGTCTGAGAGAAGTCACTTTTACAGCAACATCTGGAGAAGAACCAAAGCTGGAAGCTCACTTTAATAGAAATAAGTGAAAAGTCTTAATGGAACAAAAACAATTTTGTTTATTTGATTAAACTAAAATCAGATTTGTTCAGTCAGCTGTGAGGTAACATGAACTCCACTTTCCACTCCATTTTCTTTTTGAGTCCCGCTCTGGCTTTGATGTTTCTCTCACACCACAGTTTGAAATTCTCAGCTGTTTAAACTAAAATGTAAAAAAAAATCTACTTTCGTTTAAACGCATTAAAATTTGCACTCAACAGATCCCAGAACTGGAGAAGGAGCTGGTGGATTTAAAGTGTCCCCAAGATGAAGATGTCTCCAAACTGCTGGAGTCTTTCCAGAACCAGGTCAGAAATAAAAAATGAAGTTTGGACACTTGAACGCAGCACTACTAACTCTGTGTTTAAAACCATGCTGGTCGAAACCCAAATACAAAACCCGTTAATACGTTGTTATTGTTGGAAATCGTTCCAATTGAGCCTTACTAATTAACTTGGTAAACAAAATAATTAAGATGAAAATATAATGTGATATAACGAGGATGAAAACTGAACAGAATTTTAAAAATACATTTTGGATTATGATGGAGAATGAGCATCCATAAGGGATATGCACATTTATTCAAACTTAAATAATAGTTATAAAACCGTATGCTCCTAACTATAGAGTAAAATTCAGATTTATACATAGATTTGTGTCCAGTTTAAGAGTTAATGGTAAAAACTGAAGAGTAGTCGCCATTTTTGCTTCTTTTTTTTGTTTAGAAACCCATTTAAGATAAATAGAGCTGTAAAATGATTTCTTCTTGAGAAAATAAGATGCATTTCCTCCTTTTTTTGTAATAACTCGTCCGTACCTGATCACTTTTTATCAAAAAAGGTAACGAAAGGGCAGTTTTCTGTTTTTTTCCTGCCTGTCGGGTCCATGTTGTGGCTGGTTCGTTCTGCCATGCACGTTTTTTCAGTAGACCTAAAACATGAAGGGGCAGGTAGAGGGAACCAAATATTTATTTACCAACAATAAACAGGCAGGACAGCTCTGAAAACAAAGCTCCAGGACAAAACATGAGGAGGAAGGAGGTAATTGTTTTGTGATTAAACCAGCGGATTGATTTGCTCAGCAGCCGCCAAGCATGCTCAGTTTGATCAGTTTTAAGAAAAAGGTGATAGATAATCTTAAATAGCATAAATATGACGAGGTGTAAAAAGTCTTAAGGCAACATTTGCTCAAATTGAAGATTTTAGCTTAACTCCTCCCTGATTCTCCAGACTGAGATCAAACCGATTGCCATCTGATGCAGGTAAGATACTCACATAACCGGTTCAGAGGTAATCCAAAATAATTAAAAGGGGTATTAATATAAACAGTTTTACAGGAAGTGAGTTGTGGTTTTGTGTGTTTGAATCCACAGAGCAGTCTGGACGCCGATAAGCCTTTTGTCTTGGACAAACACATTTCTGATATTGACAGGTTTGATTTTTATTTTTCATTTCTATAGTCCCAAAATAGGTAAATAAACTGGTTTTGATAAATTAATGTTTAGTAGACAAGCATATTTAACTGCCTTTATATGTAACTCTTGTTAGGGCTCTAATCCTAGGAGAAATGTTGTTTTCATGAATATCTGGAGTAATTTTATTTATTTATTTTTCATCCCACAAGGCTGTTCAGCTCCAGCAGCGTGGAGGGAATCGTGCAGAACCTGAAGGCAGACGGTTCAGAGTTTGCTACGAGACAAGCCGAGGTGCGTCCCTGATCTGCAGCGGAGTCAGAACCACCGCCCCGGTTAATTCAGGAAACACGATGAGAGCTTGTGTGTGTGTGTTCTCGGGTTGTTCCTGCTGGCTGAGTGTGTTATAATAAACCAGGATGTTATTGGTTGTTAAATATAAAGAGTAGCTTATTAAATGTAGTATCTGTCATTTATTAAGCATTAAAGTTTTTAAGAGGCCGTCAAATTTTCACAACAATTTGAGATTATGCCACAGAATTAAAGGCCTAGCGTTCCTTTTAGAAACGCATATCGCCCGCCACATCTCATTTCAGATTAAGAGCCTCTTCTATTGAGAAGCGACGGAGTTGTGGCCGTTTTGGTCAAACGACGTGATGTGCCATTTGATATAACGCACATTCTGGTAGAGTCTGTCTGTGCAGTTCATGAGTTATTTTGCTAACAGACAAGCAGCGCTGATACGAGCAGATGACGCCAAAGATTTAAGCAAAGATGCTGCTTAGTAAAATGTGTTGGGGACGACTCTCAGCAACTACCACAGCAAAGTTTAGCTCAGTATCTGTCAAACAGAGTGACATGTTTGTGTTGGCTAAGGTCACGTAGCTGTGGCGGACATCTTCAATCCCCAAATGTTTGATTAGTCGTACAGCCAGTGATTACTTCCTGGAAGTTTCTTCGGCTGCAGGTGATAATAATCCGTCTCCACTTTATTAATCAGCCGAAGGTGGCGCCTTCCCAATCTGATCGGTTCGAGTTGTCAAATCCTTTGACCAATCGATCTGTTTTTTACATATAAGTGTCAGCTCTAAAAGGGTGAAAGCGGGTAAAGGATCCGTTATTTGTCTTTAAACGTGCTGTTTCCATGAGCTGCTTTCAGACCTGGAAGGTTTTTCAAGGTTTGAGCCTGAATACTTCTATTATCCTGGTTATGTAGGAAATTCTGGCTTTTATTGTGCAAGAACTGCTTATTTTCCTTATATTGTAGTTCATCTTGTTGCTGATTGGTTGCATATTTTTATCACATTCAGAACTTTGGTCAAAATTCACTTTCACTCATTGATTTCTAACTTTTATTTCCTGGCTCTGCTTCTTCTAGATCCTGACCAAAATGTCTCCGACGTCCCTGAAGTTGACGTTCAGGCAGCTGCAGCGGGGTGGAACCATGAGTCTGCAGGACGTGCTGGTGATGGAGTACCGACTGAGCCAGGCCTGCATGGTAAATCAAACCAACACGTGCATTTAGGGTGAAGCTTCTCAGCAGAAATGTCTTTCGCTTCCGGTAGTTTCATCAGCAACTTGCTGTCCAGTCTAATTAAAGCTAAAGTCACCCCGTGTTGTTTCAGGTGGCGGTCCTGCCAAACACGTAGAATCCCATTTACTCTTATTGTCGGGTAAAGTTTGTCTTTTAGGCGCGTCTGCAAAACACAGACGTTTTGAGTTTTCCTCCTGGTGTTTTGTTTTATCAAACTAAAAACATCTTTCCTCTTTTTTCAGTCGTCCATCTTGTTTTTCCGTCGTTAGAATCAAATTAAGGGTAACTGCCTTCATTAAATCATTGGTTGAGTGATTATACATTCAGTTTGTCAATCAGAGCAGCTTGATAGTAAATATCTTGCACAAAACCCTGGTTCTGATGGGGGCGGGGCTTAGAGCAACCACAACAGTCAGGTAAACTTCGAGCTCTACAGCAAAAACTGTGGACCAGAAGAGCCACAAAAAGTTCAGCACGCTTAAAAAAGCGAATCTGGATTTGGTGCTTTTCTCCTAAATGGCCTCATATAAACGTCGTTTTTCGCAGACTCGCTGTATCACGGGTTTTCAAACTAAGATCAGACATGACACACAAATGGCTGATTAATGGATGGGCCGCACGATCAGCATGCAATTTTTATTTTAAATAAATTATGTTAAATTATTTAGCACCTGCTGCACCTTTGTGCAGCCCACAGCTGCAGGAGAAACTTCCTCCTGCAGCTGTGTCATCTCTCCGCTCTGCAGCGAAGAAGTGGGCGTGGCCAAGAGCACTTGCAGGTGGCTGAGAGCAGAGGAGGCAGAGAGCTGAAATCATTACATGCTGTGCTCTTTTAGAGCGTTTAGAGTTTAGAAACATTGTTTAGAATAGTGCAAGAGTGTGGGAAGTGTTTAAAATGTCTTATTATTTATATATGTATTTATAAATAATAAAATAAACTACTACTTTCTACTTGTTCTACTATTCCTACTTTGCGTTTTTTCACTTATCACGGGGCTTCAGGGTACGGATCCCCCACGATAAATGAGGGACTACTGTATTCTAGAAAAGCATAATAAGTAGTACACAAATGTTCATATTTAATAATCCAGGTAAAAAATCAACAATGTTCAGTCAGGTCAACTGGACGGTTTCTTTTTTTGCTGAGACGTTTCATCCAAAGGACTTCTTCAGTCTGAGGAGCCACAAAACAAACTGATTCCCACAAACAGCACTCCATAGTTGGGGAAAAAAAACAGTTATTGGTGCTAAGATGGCCGCCAGAGCCCTCCCTCTCCCCCATCAACTCCTAAAAAAAGTGGTAGTAAATTACCATTTTCTAAACCTCTAGCAGAATCAAACAGCTTTATAGTAAATATGTTACACAACCCAGGTTTCCAGGGGGGTTAAACAAAAAAAAACATGATTTTTGTTTTTAAAAAACGTGTTTTAAGGGGTTGGTAATCGAACTTTTCTTCAAACCACAACGGTCAGGGAGCCTGAGCTCTACAGTACAAACTGCAGAACATTTAAATTAATTTTTTTTAACTGGAAGAGCCACAACACTCTTAAAAAAACGAGGCTGGGTTTGGTGTTTTTCTCCTAAATGTTAAGCTTTTCTCACTAAAAGATGCTGATGCTCATAAAAATTGTAGTAAAATGTAATTTTTTACCTTCTAACATTCTGCAAACGAGATATTTATTGAGCTTTTTTTTTTTTTTTTCAAAATAATTGATTTATCAGAAAATAAGGTGGGGTTTAAATATCTAGAGTTTAGCTGTCTTTTTATTTTAGATGCTGTTCACAGCCCTTCGGTATTCATGTTAACTAAATGTAGTTGTTTTACTTTAGAAGAGTCTGGCTTGTATCTGTTTGGCAGAACAAAAAAAAAAATGATAAAGTAATCCTTGGATTAAAAACAGACATTAACAAAATTAGATGTTAACCCTGAGAGCTGAAGGACTTTGCTGAAGTTTGCTGAACAAGCTGAAACTAAGCTAAAGTAGCTAGATATTAGCTAAAAGCAGCTAAACAGTAGCAAAAAGTAACTGAAGGCTTAAAGAAACACAATGCTAGCTAAAAACTAAAAGTAGTACCTAAAAGCATCTAAATCATCTACCTAAAAGCTAAAAGTAACACAACATGAGCTGAAAATAGCAAAACACTAGCAGAAAGTAAACAAATGCTAGCCCTAAACTAAACGTATCAAAACAATACATAAAGGCAGAAAGATGCTACCTAAAAACCCAAAGTAACAAAAAATAAGCTGAAGGTGGCAAAACATCAACAAAAAGTAGTAAATCGCTGGCTAAAAGTAGCAAAATGGTAGCTCAAAAGCAACAAACATAAGCTAAAAGTAGCAAATGCTAACTAATGAAGCTAATTAAAAGCTAAAATGACTAACAACACTATCTAAAAGCTAAAAGTAACAAATGCTTACTAATAAAGCTAATTAAAAGCTAAAATGACTACCGGTAAAAACATTATCTCAAGCAAAAGTAGCAAATGCTTACTAAAAGAAGTAAAAGCTAAAATGGCTAAAACAATATCTAAAAGCTAAAAGTAACAAAACTCAAGCTAAACGTAGCAAATGCTTACTAAAAGAAGCAAAAACTAAAATGACTAAAAACTATCTAAAAGCTAAAAGTAACAAAACATAAGCTGAAGGTGGCAAACAAAGGATTTTCTCTAATAAATACTTTTTTTTGGTCACACCAGAAACATAAAGTGTTTGATGAGCTGGTGCGCTCAAACGAATGTCTTGACATAGTAAAATGACATTTTCTGGTAATATTTTAATGTGTTTTGTTGCAGAGAGGCTGCGATTTCTACGAGGGCGTACGAGCCGGTAAGTTTAGAGTTTTTTTATGAGTCTGAAAAGGTTCTGAAAACAGGAAAATACAATAAAATCATAATTTTGCCATGAACGGATCTTTAAATTCAATTGATTTGTATTGTGCAAACTCACAATATTTATCTTAAGGTGCTGTACAGAAAAGTTTCAGTTAAATAAAATCCATTTCAGTCCACTCTACTCCAATTAAATACAACTCAGTTAAATCCAGTCCAGTTCAAAAATCATTACTGTTTAAAATCCAACTAAATCAAATCAACTCAGATTAAATTAATAATCTACTTATATACAGTCCAGTGAAGCTGATTAATTGTTTTCCAGTTCAGTCAAATTCATTTATGCAATGAATTTAATGTCCAATTAAATATATCACATTAAATTCAATACTCATAAAAATATAAACGGTTCGATTCAGTTTGGTTTATTCCAACTCATTTAACTAATTAAACATCGTGTTCAAAGTGATCCAGTTGAATTAAAAGTAGTCGCATTTAAAGTTAAATTCAAATGGATACAGTTCAATTGATTTACTATTTTAACACGGTTCCAATTCCAATTCTGTTTCGTCCATTCATTCCAATTTAAAGCAAATCTGACGTGATTCAGTTTTAATGCAGATGAAATAGCAGAAAAAGCTGAAAGGAGCACAGCAAACGGAAACTAGCAGAACAAATTTAATTAGGCTGAAAGTAGCAAAAATCACCATGAGAACTTGAATTCATCTGAAAACAGCTTAAATTAGCTTAAAAATGCTAAAAACGTAGTTGACAAGGTTGAACAAGCTTAAATTAGCAGAAGAAAGCAGAAAGAACATGTTTGCCCATTTAGGCTCAAAGAAGCAGAAATGAGCACAAAAAGTAGAAATTATCTAGAAAACAGCTTAAATTAGCAAAAATTACTGAAAAGTAGCTAAAAAAAATCAGAAAGAAACTTAAATTACCGGAAGTAAGTGGAGAGAACACATTTTTGCTGAATTAGGCTGAAAAAGGTTTAAATTAATGCAAAAAAATCTAGGATTAGTAAAAAAAAAAAGCTCAAATTAGCATAAAAACAGCTAAATAATAATAGCTTTAATAGCAGAAAAGGCTGAAACTATCAGGAATAAGCTGAAAAGAGCATAACAAGCTAAAATTAGCAGAAAGAATCTAAAAGGATCACAAAACAGCTGAAAGTAGCTGAAGCAGAACAAAATAAAGGCTGTAAACAGATTAAAGATTTGAAGGAGCTCAATTCATTTTCGATGAGGAAAAAAATATCAGAAAAGGCTAAATATTTCAAAAAGCTAAATAAAGTTGCACCAATACCAAAAGTCACAGCAGGATTGTCCTGAAACAGCTGAACATTTTGATTTATGATTTGTTGAATTGGCACAAAAAATGTGGAATGAGAAAGAAGCTGAAAAACGTCCGGAAGAAAAAATGCTTCGTAAACATTCACACTATCGGTTCGATTCAAAGTTAAAGGTGGATTATTTAACCGCCAGTCAATTTGTTTTTAATTAAAAATGTGAGTTTTTAAAAACATTGACCTACTGATGAAGATAGATGGCTTCAAAAGTACGTTTGTTTGTTTTTAAATGTAGATTATTGTTATTAATTTTAATAGGCGTGTTGTAATTCGGGGTTGTCTCAGTTTTTCATGCTTTGCCATTAAAGGTTTCCTCACGCTGTGATTGAACCGCTCGTCTCCGTTGGCGTTTGGCTCACAGCGTTAACTCGGTGTTTTCACCCGAGTCCATTTAAATGTCACGGTTCTCTGTGTGCTTCCAGTCCTGGTGGACAAAGACCAGAACCCCAAGTGGAATCCGCCGTCGCTGGCCCAGGTTTCCGACCAGAGCGTGGACGAGTGTTTCTCCTCGCTGGGCGAGAAGGACCTGACGTTCTGATGTTTGTCAGCTGCTTCCCACCTTCTCTAAACAACCGCTTCCTGCTCTCGGCTGCTTTCGTGGTCGCTTATTTCGGAGGACTCTGCTGCTGTGGTTTGAAGAAAGCTGCACGACTGACGAGACGTACATCTTTGGGATGACTTGAGTTTTCCAACATAGGTCTGGTTCCTACTTGGCAAACCAGAAATCAAAAAGTGTTCGCCGAATAAAGGAGCTGGCATCGACTGAATGTGAATATTTGGTGACGGTGGAGAGTTTGCAGCCCAGCTTCACCACGAGGACACGGGAGGGGGAACTGATCTCACCGCTGAGTGCTTTATTATGTTTCCCGTGGGCGTTTGTTGACGTGACACGGATCCGTATCATCTGTATTTCTGCTTTAGATAATGTGTTTTCTCTTAGTTTCTTGTTGTTGTTCTCTGTCATTAAAATGTAGCTGTTTTTAGATGCAGCAAGGATTTAAGAGCATGTTCCTGCTCACCCAAGACACAAACGTTTATTAGTGTCAGCCTGAAATGTGTGTTTTTGTGTTTGTTTGTTTCTGATGGACTTGTTTGTCCCACAGGAGTGAAATCACTTCCCCATTAGACCTCCATGTCTGCATTATTTATGACACAGAGACAGATTAGTGCAGAAGCAGAAAGGCAACTAGAGAAATTGCATTTCCTGCGAAAATGCAGTGTGAATGCTTATTGTTGAAGACTTTGGTGAAAATCAGCCGAAGTTAGCTTAAAAAAACATGCTGGAATGTAGCTGAAATGGAAGAACGAGTCTAAATTAGCAGTAGAAAACAGAAAGGACACAAATTTGATGAATTGGTTTTAAATAAACAGAAGTGAGAACAAATATTAGGAAATAAGCAAAAAAAAAAAAAGCTGAAACTAGCGACAATAAAAAAGGGCTCAAAAGTAGCTGAAAAGGCTGAAAGAAGCTTATGGGTTCAAGGTTCATTATTTGTCATACCACATGTGGTACATGTAGTAGAACGAAATTGTGTACACAAGGTCCCAGTAACATCCAATAAAAGTATAAAATGTAAAAGAAAACCAATAAGATCTAAGATGTGAACTAAGAAAAACATTAACTAAAAATACACTAAGCACTAATAGTTCAAAAACAATACGCTGAACAGCAGCAGGAACATGCGTGTGTGTGCAGATGAGTACGAATGAACACAGCAACATGAAACAGATCAGCAGAAACTACCAGAAGGAAGTGGAAAGAGCTGACGTGAGCTAAAAAACTGTGGAATTGGCTGAAAAGGCTAAAATTAGCACAAAACAGCTGAATAGTGGCTGAAATTGCAGAAGTTGAAACAAGCAGAAAAAAGCATAACAAGCTGAAGTTAATATAAAGTTGTTAATTAGGCTGAACGTTGCAGAAATTACCACGAAAACTGAATTTATCTGAAATTAGCTAAATAAAGTTAGCTGAAAGGTAGAACAAGATTAAATTAGAAGAAGAAAGCAGTTTGCCCAATTAGGCTGAAAGAAGCAGAAATTAGCACAGAAAAATGGAAATTATCTGAAAAAAGCTGAAACTAGCTACAAAAACAGCAGAAAACTAACTTTTAAAAAAGCAGAAAAAAGCTTAGATCACCAGAAGGAAATGGAGAGAGCACATTTTTGCTGAATTAGGCTGAAAAAAGTTGAAATGAGTGCAAAAAAAATGTGGAATTAGCTGAAAAAGCTAAACATTAGCCCCCCAAAAAACCTCACCCTGGCTAAATAGTAGCTGAAGTAGAAAAAGCTGATACTTGCATAATAAGCTGAAAGGAGCATAAGCTGAAATTAGAAAAAAAAAACAAATGAAGAAGCTCAAAACCGTTGAAATTAGCTGAAAGGAGCTGGAAAAAATGATCCATTTGCACAAAGAAGCTGAAGCAGAACAAAAAGTGAAAGGAGCAGAAAAAGTTGTAAATAGCTCTAAATAGTTAAAGGATGTAAAATGAGCTCAATTTATTTTCCATGAGAAAAAAAACTTGTCTGAAACGGCTAAATATTTAAAATAGCTAAAGTTACACCAATACCAAAAGTCAAAGCAGGATTGTCCTGAAGGAGCTGAACGTTTTGATTCATGATTTGTTGAAATAGCACAAGTTGTAGAAGATGCTGAAAAATGTATAAAAGAAAAGTGGATCACAATGTGAGTGCTTCAGAAACATTCACACAATAAAGGGAAAGTGCTGCACGACTAACGTCTTTGTTTTTGTAAATGCGGAAAATGAACAGCCGTTTTGTTGCAGTGCTGAACTTTGACTCTTTTGACCCGTTCTGTTGTAGATCAGCTGCTGTGTTTTGGATCATGGTCCCGTTGGACCCAGGTTGGTACATCTGACTCCAGAACCCTTTGGTCTACAGAGGAGTTCTTGGTCCGCTCAGTGACTGACAGGAGCCCCAACCATCAGCTCTCCACCACCGTGCTGACAGCTGGGAGGAGCTGCTTGCTGCAGTGCATTCTGGGTAAACACCTCCTCTTTGGTCTGGTTCTGTCCCAGATGAATTGTGGTTCCTTCCAATGAAATTTTTCCAAAAAAAAGTTGTGCTGTCTTGTTTTTAGAGGCCATGACCTTTGGCCTGTAGAGCCTTCCAGGTTGATGATGGACAGCAACGGTTGTTCTGTCCTGGTGGTTGGAGGTCGTCCCTTTAATGATCAGCCCGTTCTTCCTCTCCCAAATCGTGTCAAAGCGATAAAGACTCAGTTTCACCCACTGATTCTGCATTTTTGTTAATTCGTGGTACGGTGTAATAGTTTGACGGTCTGTTGTTTTTACTTAACACCCGTTGAACGCCAGAGTTGTTTAGTTTTTCGATCTGAAAAACCTCCCCGTTTGTTTAAGGAGGCTGCGTGTTGACGGCAGCACTTTATGAGCAGCTTTTATGGTTCTTTTAAAACGCTGATAGCATCGGAGTACTGTTGTTATCAGCATGAACGCAGCAGCTGCTCAGACATTAGTGGAGCGCACATTAGTTTTGACTTTAACTGGCGTGTTTTATGTTTTACGGCTCAACTTGCAGTGTTTGTGCAGTTTTACAGGCTCTATTTGATTTTATGTGAAGCATTAAGCAATTAAACCTGATATTTGTTTTAACCTTCATTTTCTGCACAGCCCTGTTGCAGCAGCACGTTGCGTTCAAAGACGGTAAACTTGACATATTTCGTAAATAAACTGCCAGAAACTCTGAGGAAACGTTCTCTTGGCGTCACAGATAAATCCTGACAGTTTATGACCTGGCTCTTCAAACAGACGCCGTCCAGCAGGCGTTTCTAAACCCTTCTGTTTGTCCTCGGCGGGGCTGAACTTTCGACCCGCTGGGGGATCGCTGTTTCTGTTCAACCGGCGCTTCAAAACAAACATGGCCGAGTCAGAAAATGTTGAAATTTGGTCTTGAACCTTTCAGAATATTAGAAAAAGATGAAACATTTTATTGGCTGAAGGCATATTTCTGATTTATTGGCATCAGGTTTTACACAGGATTCATGTACAGGCTGGAACTTAAAGGAACATTATGAAAAAAGTCACTCATTTTAAGTCGCCGTAGGTTAAATATTTACAGGCGGTTCTTATCAGGGCACACACCCGCCGATGAACTGAATGATACTTGTTCCTGTGAAAAGTTGGGATTTAATGAGGTTAAATCATACTTTTATGTTTCAGTTCTTTCACTCAGCAGCTGCTGCATGTTCTCTGGGTCGCTTTGATTCATGCAATGACCCAAAACGTTACAGGAACTGAAGGGTACACAAGTTGTAATGTTAGCCCCAACCCATTTAATTTGAGACAAAGTTAGCCACGGTCCATTCAAGTGATCTTTTGTTGTTTTATGGAAAATTAATCCACTAAAACTTCACGTTTTGTGAGATTATTGCAGCTTAAAATGAGCGACTTTTAAAAATTACAAACTACGTTTTCATAAAGATGTCTCAGTGAAGACTGATGTCCTCCTTATTTCTATCTGAGCATCAAAACCTGGTTTTTGTCAACGTTTCACATAACAACAACAAAAAAAAATCCTCAAGGTGTTTTTAAAACAAGGGATCCCGACGTCACGTTTGTGTGGAATCTGACTTTTTTCGCCAGTTGGGCTCAGATTTCTGTAAAATGAAAAACAGGCCAAACTCGTCCCGTCTCGTGGATTGCACTGTCATGGCTGCCTGACCTCTGACCTCTGAGAGGTTTCTGTATCCTCACAGGTCATGCGACACTCACAGAAACAACTGAACTCTGTTACTTTTCAGGATTTCGCCCCTCGAACGTAGTTCTTCTACCAACTAATCTAAAATGTGTCGAGGATGTTTCTGCCTTTAAGTCAAAGCACAAACTCCCGCAGGAGTTCTCTGAAGAAGGCAAGTGGTGACGCCACTCTGCACCGTTCGTTTATGGCTCGTCAGCGGCTGCTTTTGGTTTGTTTCACGTATTTTTATATATTTTTTACTGCGCTGACATTCCAAGTAGTTGAGTCAACTTTAAACTGTCCCCATCGAAGCTCGACTGGCAGTTTGAACTGGGTTTTCAATGAAACCTGAGTGCAGCTTGTTTTATAGCATCGTCCGGAGACCAGACCTGGACGGTGCCACGGTTGAAATAAACAGGAAAACTGAAGCTTCTTGAGCTGTAACACTTTGGCTCATCGTTAAGAACCAGAGCACGAACGGAACGAGCAGCCGCTCCTGTAATGGTTCAGCGAGGTCTGGATCGACAGATGAACACAACTGAAGGACGAGACGGGTTTCATATTTAGCCCGTCACAACTGGACTTGCAGCTGGCTCACAGTTCTTTAGCTGAAACAAACGGGAGTTTAGCTCCATCAAGGTGATTCCCAAAGTTTTTGGGGTTTTTTTGGAAGTGGTGCAGAAAATTGGTGACGAACGGAGGACGGAAGTCCGACTCCAGCAAACAAACAGAAACTGAGAGCCACGTTTTAATAGAGACGAGCTCAAACAGGACCTGAGACACGGACGCATCGTTTATTTCAGGTGTTCACAAACGTCTCGGTTTAATAAAAGTTGCAGAGACTTGTGACTCTGACTGTTGAAGTTCTTTAGTTGCTTCAGATAATCTCAAGATCCCAAATTTGGAGTTTCCAATCCCGCGGTGAATTCACAAACCCAACTGTCTGAATCAGGTTTGCAGCTGTTCAGGAGTCATCTTGTTGGAGATACCATATTTTCCGGCCTATAAGTCGCACCTTTTTGCCTAATTTGAATACCCTACAACTTATACATCGTAGCGACACATTTATGGATTTTTTCCCATATTTACAAACCAATTTTTGACTGAGATACGACGTTTTCATTCATTTTGACATGGAAAATATTGAACACTACCATTTTCAGCCGCTAGATGGCACTTGAGCAGTATGGCATGCTGTTGTGTCATATAATAGGTAAAAGTGGCTATTAATGACGCAATCGGCTTGCCACAGCCTGCCACCGTCGTCCAGCTCCGGGATCATGGCTGGAGCAACCGTCAAACCAACTTCATTTCAGCCGTGCCGCCCCCAGAGAAATGCAGCTGATTTGACCATCGAAGTGCATTTTTTAAGTAAAAGTTCAACCGAGGAACACCTTTGCTATAATTTTGAGCAAACAAATAATGGTTTTAAGTGTTAATCTTGTTAAAGTCCTCCTGTGCACGCTCCCACGGTCGCCATTTCGCAGCCAATCGATTTTTGGCACAACACCGGCCCGTGTTTCCGGGTTGACAGCGGTGACGCGTGACAAACACGACACGTCAGGGTGACACATAATAGATGCGAAGTACACGGCGACTTATTGATGTTTTTTCCCACTTTATTAGACATATTTGGACTGATGCGACTTATAGGGCGGTGCGACGTGTACGATGGAAAATACGGTAAAATCCTGTTTTCTGTCAAACTTTGTTGTTTTTGATTTATTTTTATAGACTGAACTAAATAAATGGATCAAACTGTGTCTGTGTGACAGTTTGGTCAGATTCAAGAACTGAAACTGAGGGAAGAAGCAGCTTAAGTCCAGAGAACTGTTGATCCAGACCCACTTTACAAAGTTAGAGGAAAACCTGGCTGCTTGGAAGGAAAATGGAAATAAACGAAGGCTGTAATAAAACTGTTTCTCCATCCTCTGGCCTCTGTTTGGAACATTTCTAAATTATTTAATTGTTCAGTTGATTAAACTTGTTTTTTTTTTTTTATTTCATCTGCCAGTCCAGAATCAATGACACAAAGTGGACAAAACGAAGCCTAAAAATTCTTTGACTGTTTTATGGCTGAAGTGTTAATGGTGGGTCCTAATCTGCAGCGGTCTGCGACCTTTACAACTGCACGAGGCGCCAGCTACCATCCACTGTTATGAATGCGTCTTTTTTCTACTAATGCTCAATAAATGCGCAAATCTACTTTAAGTTTGTGGGCAAACATAAATAAATGTTTTGGTTTTGAAACAGAGAGCGATCTCACCGGACAGGAAACGTGCTAACAACCTGTTAGCTTAATATTAAAACTGAAAAGCCGAGTCCTAATCCCAAATTCTGGTCCTGGAACGACGAGAAGCCGCGAGTTTTAAAATGATTTAATTTATTTTAACCCACCTAAATGACCGTGTGTCTTTCTGAAGTGAATGATTTGGTACAGAATAGTTCCTGGACTCCGTTAGATGAGAGTCCAGATAGTCCATCGTCTCTTTTCTTCATCCGAGTCCAGACGGTGCATTTCTGTCCAGGGAGGATCCTTCTCCTAAAGATGGGATCTATAAATACCCTCCCCCAGACCCCCCATGGACGCCGGCGAGTCGGGTCGTCTTTCGCACCAAATATCTGATTGGGTTTCTGAAGCGGAGCCACGAGGGAGGACGGTGCAGGACGGAGAAAGATGATCTCCAGCCGTCCAGCAGGATCGGGGCTCTGTGGTCCGTTTGGAGGAAGGTTGTAGGCTCAGTCCAGGCATGACCCAATCCTGAAGTGGGTCAGAGCCGATGAAGTCCAGACTCTGACTGACTCTTTGATTTGTCTCCAGACCTCCAGGTGTCCCCTCTGTGAAGTCTGGCCCCCCATCACGGAACGTCACATTCGATGTAGGGGATGTCGCTGTAGCGGCTGTCCACCTCCACCCACTGCTGCACGGCCCGGGCCACAATCTCCTCCGACAGCCTCTGGGCGTACTCCAGCAGAACCGGGTTGACCTGAGGGGAGCTCTCCTCCGAGTCCACCAAGTAGGCCTTCTCGCCCCTCGTCTTCCTCCTCTTCCCGTCCACCCTCTCGGTGGAGTTGGCGTGCTGGGAAGCGTCCTCGCTCCTCTTGGATTTGACACACCCCATGCTCCGGAGGGATGGCTCATTGATTCACCTGAACAATGTTCTGCCTGCTTTGGACTTCAGGGTTCCTGTCCTCTGTTTCCACCCATGCCTGAGTCCAGAGAGTGAGGCGGTCGGGGTTTTATCGCCCGAGTGTTCAGGAGGACCATCCTGCAGGAACGCTGCCCCGTCTTATCTTTTCCTTACCTGCAGAGAGAAAACAGGAAGGATTTTAGAGATTTATTTTGAAAGGACGCCTAAAAATAGAGTTTAGGGTTTAGTTACTGATGTAACTTTTTAGTCAGGGTTGTAGGTGCAGCCTTTCAGCTCCGCCCACAAATTTTCTACGCGAGAGATCGCTGAGAGACAATGTCCACTTAAAGACACACTTGTGTCCAAGCTTTAACTTCCTGCCACATGTTTTGAGCTGTTACTTCAATATTTCCACATAATGCTCTTCCCTCGTGATCTCTTGTGACACACACCAGTCCCTCCTAAAGCAAAACACCTCCACATCATGATGCTGCCACCCCCGTGCTTCACAGTTCTTTATGTGGCAGCAAAAAGTTCAAGTTTATTTTAATCAAACCGCATGACATGTGTCCTAACATTAATGTCCCTGTCCCTGTGTGCATTTACAAACTGTCTTCATGTTGCTCTGGAAGTGATGTCTTCATCCTCCCTGAGTGATGTGTTCGACATAACCGTACTTCATCTAGCTACCTAACGACTAATGTGTGCCACAAGGCTCAGTTTTAGGACCCACTCTTTTTACAATTTATATACGTAATGTAGGCCAAAACATTCCTGACGCATCTCTATGCTGACGATACAATTGTTTATTGTGCTACCCAACAGTCACTAATGGTGTACCACAAGGCTCAGTTTTAGGACCCACTCTTTTTACAATTTATATATGTAGGCCAAAACATTCTTGATGCATCAATATGCTGATGATATAATTGTTTATTGTGCTACCCAACAGTCACTAAGTGTGTGCCACAAGGCTCAGTTTTAGGGCCCACTCTTTTTACAATTTATATATGTAGGCCAAAACATTCCTGATGCGTCTCTATGCTGACGATACAATTGTTTATTGTGCTACCCAGCAGTAACTAATGGTGTGCCACAAGGCTCAGTTTTAGGGCCCACTCTTTTTACAATTTATATAAGTAATGTAGGCCAAAACATTCCTGACGCATCTCTATGCTGATGATACAATTGTTTATTGTGCTACCCAGCAGTAACTAATGGTGTGCCACAAGGCTCAGTTTTAGGACCCACTCTTTTTACAATTTATATACGTAATGTAGGCCAAAACATTCCTGACGCATCTCTATGCTGACGATACAATTGTTTATTGTGCTACCCAACAGTCACTAATGGTGTACCACAAGGCTCAGTTTTAGGACCCACTCTTTTTACAATTTATATATGTAGGCCAAAACATTCCTGATGCGTCTCTATGCTGACGATACAATTGTTTATTGTCGAGCTGACACAGTTGCCAAGGTTTTCCAGCTTCTACAGTCTGCATTTGACATCATTCAATCTGACTTATTCCATCTCAAGCTGGTGCTAAATGCTGATAAAACCAAAGGGATGTTGTTTTCAAGCAGTAAGCTGGTGCCAGCAACTCTTCCTCCTATCTCATCCATGCATGGTGTTCTTGTTGAGTTTGTGGATTCTTACAAATACTTGGGATTTTTGGTTGAGGCACATCTCTCTTTTAAACCACATATTGAAAACTTGATAAAGAAACTGAAATTAAAACTGGGTTTCTTTTTCAGAACTAGATCTTGCTTAACTCTTAATGCTCGAAAACGCCTTGTAGCTGCTACTTTCCTATACCGGCCATTGACTATGGTGACATTATTTACATGAACGCCCCTGCCAGCTCCTTGCCGCGGTTGATGCGCACATTTCACACCAAAACTAGTTCATCGCAGGAACACCCATCTCCTTCCTGAGCGATCGAACAGGACAGTCTGCGACCTATCTGAAAACCGGACCCAAGGATGAACCAGAGTTCTGGAGGTCAATGATTCTCTTCCTGACATCCTGATTTCTTTGGATTTTCCCATGATGCCACACAGAGGAGCAAAGTGTTTGATGTGCTCCTCCATTTAACTCATGTTGTCAACTAACCAATCAAAAGCTTCTAAATTCATGACATCATCAGTTGGATGTTTTATTTTGCTGCTGAACTCAAGAAGATTTTTGGTGACTCGGGCTTGAGGTCGAGGCCCAGCTTCACCTCTGTGGGGGTCATTTGAAGACTCCCGTTCCTCCCCCCACCCTGGAGTGTTTTACGACTCAGTCCCTCGCCCTGTTGTGCGCTGCGTGACACGGGGCAGTCTGCGGACCCGTGTAAGCCCTGAGTGTCCCATCTGTTCCACTAACCGGGCCTCTGCAGCTGATCCGTGGTGACGGCAGACGCTTCATTCAGAGAGCATCCTGGAGTCCTCACGACTCGCAGACGATGAATGATTTATTCTGTCTGGGAGGAAACAACTGGAGGAGGAGCAGCCCTAAAAAAGTCAGGAAGTCCAACAGCTGTCTCGGGCCTTGAATGCATCACAAACATGAGAAGGAATGCATATCGCTCGCCGCCTTTCATGTTTGAAACTACAACCGTTTTGGTAAAACCAATGCGGTCTCGTGCGATCCGTTAGACTACATGTTGGGGATGACTCTCAGCTACTACCTCAACACGTTTTACCCCCAAACCAAATTTGACTGAGTTATAGCCCTTGTTGCATTTGTTAAGGTTGATTAGCTATGGTGGTCCTCTTAAACGGTCTCGGCTCCAAAGTGAATCAGGGGTAGACCCGGTGATTTCCTTCTGAGTTTCATTGAGATCCGTCGAGCTGTTCATGGGATATTTTGCTAACAGTCCAAAAGGGTTCAGAGGTAACACTTTATGCCAAGATTTAAAATGTGTGCACTCAAACTATGCGTTGAGGACGATGCTCAGCTACTGCCACACCATACTTTAGGTCAATATTTGGAAAGTGGATCTAGTTGACCCAAAATGTTAATCAGCTGCAGATGTGAACCTAATGATTTATTTCAGAAAGTTTAATAAAAATCTGTCCTCTAGTTCATGTATTATTTTGCTAACAGCCAGACAGAGTAGGCATTAATAATTAGTGCCTAAGTTTTGAACCTAAATATCGTGCTCTCGTGTAGTGCTCTGACTATGTGTTGGGGATCAGTACCAGCTACTACCACACCAAATTTTAGCTGAACATCTTTAAAATTGACCGAGTTATTGTTATTTTTGTGTTGGCTAAGACTGCTTTGCTCTGGTGGCCATTTTGAATTGGACTGATTCCAAAAGTTAATGAGCTGTAGATCCATGTCCAATTAATAATTCCTGAAAGTTTAATTTAAATCCGTTGAGTGGTTCGGGAGATATTTTGCTAACAGACAGAAACGAGACAAAACATGATCGCCCTTTGGTCGCCGGCGGGTGATAATGAACTCTTTCTGTGCAAACGTGAAACGGAAACATTCAGATTAAAATATGATCCATGAGATCTGCACGTACTTTTAATGAGCTGAAGCAGGAAGGTCTCATTCTGCTCCAGGAGAACCCCAAGGTCGTTCAGGTGGACGATCATCTGGACCGGTTCGGCTCTTCTGACCCGTCCTCTTCACACAAACAGAACCCAGATTACCTTAAAGTTCCGCCGCTTTTATTCCAGATGAAGCGCCTCGTGCCAGATGTCTCATAATCTCCGATAAATGAATTAAAAATAAAATAAATAAAACAGCCAGCTGCTGCAGACGGTCCTGCAGGCCCCGAGGAGCTGAGTCCCGCTGCAGGGACGGGAAACGGGTCTGGACCGAACTCTCCACGCAGATGGTCAGCACGGAGGCGCAGCGGTTGAAGGAGTCCGAGCGCCGCGCGCGGAGACGCGGCTGCGGGCGCGGCGGAGCACCGCCCCCTGCCGGCCGGACCTTAAAGGTGCTCACTGAAAACTACAAAACCCAAACCAAAAAAATCCATGCTCAGTAATCCAGGTATACAATCCAACAATTTTCATTCAGGTCAAAACCCAACGTTAAAAAAAGGTTCTGACCCAAAACACCTGGTTCCGTTTGAAACTTTGCTCTGGTAGTTTAAGATGCATGGACTTTAAACACTGAAATGCAGGTACGCACTCAACGTAAACAAAGCGGGCTTCTTTCCAAATGGCTCCTTCGTGGACGTCACCTGTTTTCAGGTTATTATGGTCTGAATGTGTTACAGTAGTCCCTCGCTACTTCGCAGTTCGACTTTCGCGGTTTTTCATCGATTGTCAACGTTAATATTAGTTACGTGACTGGGACGGTATGAGAGAAAAAGTTAACGAAAGAAAATACTTAACACAGGCGCTGCCATTTTGTAGTTTTCTTTCAACAAGCCTACACTGTAAGGCCAGTCAAAGAACTACATTACCCAGAAGCCAACAGTGCTTACGGCCGCTGCTTTCTAACGAAATGAAGGAAAAGTTTTGATCCGATCCAAACCTGACTAAAAGTTTCGTCTTTATTCATAGTGACCTCGGCGCTCAGTGGAGAGCCCATCAGAACCGGACCAGAACTACTTCCAGCCTCATCGGTCAATCTGAGTGCTGCTTGCCGGCCCACGAAGCCTCTCGAGCGCGGAGGCGTTGCTCAGAGGTCCGGTGTCTTTTCCGAAGCTCACACGGACTTTTTCACCTGAAGTCCTCTGGATCATTTGGACTCGATCGGGACCATTGTGTGTTTTTGTGCTGGCTCTCCGAAGGTCCGGCTCTCCAAATGCGTCTGGTGCTCAACGGCTGCAGAGCCAGTCAGAACCGGACCAGGGCTTGTGAGCACCCATATAAAATTATGCAGTACTGTACAGTAAATATACTTATGTTGTTAAAATGACGTAGGTTTAAGAGTTTAGAACATTGCAAGTGTGGGAAGAGCTTCTAAATCCTTAAAATATATATAAATATTAAAATAAATCGGAATATCATTCCTACTTCGTGGTTTTTCACCTATCGTGCGGAACGTAACCCCCGCGATAATCGAGGGATTACTGTATTTATTATCGCCCGCCACAGAAGGCAGGACAATAATGTTTTTGCCGTGTCCCAACAACTAAAATGGCAAATAATCTACTGTTATATCAAAGTTTTCTAACAGGTATGTCTTTAGAAACAATCTTCTTACTTTCCTTTTGAAGTTAAGTATTTTCTGCCCACTTAGAGCAACCAGGAAATCCCGTCATATATCGCTTCAGCTTGGGGATTTCCTATTATTAAAAAAAAAAGTTAGAATTCCCAGTAGAGTCAATTCAGACAAAAAAAAATTGGCGTTACTGACGTCGCTGTGACTCGTTACTGCAGCACGGGTCGTAAACGTTTCACGAGACACTTGACGGTTCATTAAATGTTGAGAAAGTGATCAGTTCAAAATGGCCGCTGCAGCTGTTCAGGCTTAGCCTGCACAAAAACGGATGAACCCACGAGAATTTTACAGCTACTCAGCTAGAATTTAGCACGGTGGTAGCTGAGGGTCATCAAATTTCACCAACTCTGGACGGCATTAATCTGTCCTCCAGCTCTAATGTTAAAAACGTTGGAGTTATTTCTGATCAGGACACGTCTTTTATCCTCCACATTAAAAACGTTACTAGAACCTCCTTCTTCCACCTGCGTAATATCACTAAAATTAAAAACATCTAAAAATGATGCAGAAAAACTGGTCCATGCATTTGTCACAGCTAGACTGGACTATTGCAATGGTTTGTTATCAGGTGTCCAAATACGTCTTTAAAACGTCTCCAGTTGATCCAAAATGCTGCTGCCAGAGTCTTAACTGGAGTTACTGGGAGAGATCATATCTCTCCAGTTTTAGTTTCTCTCCACTGGCTCCCTGTCAAATCCAGAATTGAATTCAAAATCTTACTTCTAACCTACAAAGCCCTCAACAACCTAGCTCCATCTTATATTCGAGATCTTATTGTTCCATATTTTCCTAACAGAGCACAGCAGAAAGTGTTAAAGAAACTTTATTGGGTCTTGACAAGAAGACGGAAACATCTGCAGGAGCTGCTCACTGTGACGGGAGCAGAACCTCACGCCTCGGTTACATAATCAGCTCACATAACAAGAGCCTCCTTCTTAAAGCGAAAACATGGGAGGTTCTGCTGGTTACAGGAGGTTCTGCTGGTTACAGAAGGTTCTGTTGGTTACAGAAGGTTCTGC